GGAGCCCCCCGCCGGCGACAGGGGTAACATTACCATGTGTTTTATTAGTTTTGGGGTGGGGGGGGGGGGGGGGGGGAACCAAGCAGCTTCTCCAGAAAGACCCAAGATCAACCCCAAAGCCCACAGCCTAGGCCTCAAGCGCGAAACCCTAAACCCTAAACCCTAAACCCTAAACCCTAAACCCTAAACCCTAAACCCTAAACCCTAAACCCTAAACCCTAAACCCTAAACCCTAAACCCTAAACCCAGGTGGCAGAAAGATAAGAAAGCCCGAGTCGACCTAGCCGAGAGTGAGAAGCGTGCCCTCTCGGAGCTGCGGGCCGCGGCAAGCACTTGCGAACCTAGGACGAGGGTTTAGGGTTTAGGGTTTAGGGTTTAGGGTTTAGGGTTTAGGGTTTAGGGTTTAGGGTTTAGGGTTTAGGGTTGAGAGTGCCCAAACAGCCCAATACCCCTTAATTGAGGAACATTCCTGAAATCAGATTAAGGGTCCCTTTATAATTTAGGGTGTGTTCCTTAAAAAAGGAGTATTGGGCTCTCTGGGTGTAGGGTTTTAGGCGACCCTAGGCTAAGGGTTCAGTTTAGGGTTGAGAGCGTAGGGTTTTAGGTTAAAGGGTGTTGGATAAATTCGCATTTTGTCCGCATTCGGGCTTAACCGCAACATTAGTTGGGGGAAGCTATGCAGGAATTCTTTTTTTCACAGGGGTTTAAGTGTCAACCTAGGAGCACTTCCAGCTCCGAGGGCCAGTCTACCCCAACCTCGTCGTCCATGAGAAGTGGCAGTTTAGGGATACCTGGAAATGTTTTTGGTTTTTGGGTACTCTAGTTCCTAAGAAACAGCCAAAAACTAACAATTTCTGCTAGGGCTCCAAGTTCAGTATAGGCAGGAAGAGGAATCGCCCGAGCGCTCGGCCGGCATCTTAGTAGCTGAATGAGTACACTTTACACTTGTTGGGATACTAGAATCTCCCATACTGAAAGTGTGCACTTTTGGGGGGGCTTATGAACTCAGCAACTGAGGCATCCTGCGCGCAATCTCCGACTCCTTGGCGAATCGGCTCAGGGTTCTGCGCATCGACAACTTCCCCGGCTCCGGCGACCCGGTGTTCGGCACCAAGCACGAGCTTCGCAGGAGCCTGCGGGCTCCGGACCTCTTCGGAAACTCGGTCGGTTTAGTGGTGCCCCTTTTTGCCCCTCCCCCCATCCCCCCCTTTTTTAAAAGGGGTAACCTTATTCTTGCATATGGGGGTATTCCAAGAGGATCCTGCTATTTGGGGGTCTACATTAGGTGTCCCCTAACCCCCATATGGTTACTGGGCTACCAAGGAAAGCTAACAGCTGCCTTCCCAGCCGGCTCCTCCTGTAGCCTGAAGACGCCGGGTTGCTGTTGAGGAACCCAACGAAGTTACTTGCCCTAGTAGCGCGTATGCAACTTATGTTATGCATATTCTTCATTGTCCCTTTACATACATATATACAAATATGGTTATATATATATATATATTTATTTATTCATTTTTCTATGCATATATCTACAGGCCTTGCGGCACGGGCCGGCCTGGCCGTCTGAAAACTGAAACTCGGGTTTGGGTTTAGGGGTTGGAAAAAATAAGAAGAAGAGAAAGAAGAAGAACAAGAATAAGAAAAGAAACAAGAAGAAAAGAAAGAAGAAGAAGAAGAGGAAGAAGAAGAGACAGAAGTAGAAACAGAAGTAGAAGAAAAGAAAGAATAATAAATAGAAGAAGAAGAAAAGAAGAGAAAGAATGATAACGAGAATAAAGGGTAAAGGAAGAAAAGGAAGACATAAAGAATAAGAAAAAGAAGAAGACGAAAAGAAAAGAAATAATAATAACAAGAAGAAAGGGTAAATGAAGAAAAAGAAGAATAAGAGAAATAAGAATATGAAGAAAAGAAGAAGAATACACATAAGAAGATTAAAATAAAGAAGAATGAAAAGAAGAAGAAAATAAAGAAGAATAAGCAGAAGAATAATTAAAGAAAGAAGAATAAAAAGAAGAAGAATAACAGAAAAGAAAGAATAATAACAAGAGGAAGAAAATAAGAAGAAGAAGAAGAAGAGAAAGAAGAGGAATAAAAAGAATAAAAACAAAGAAGAATACAAGTAAGAAGAAAACAAATGAACAGGAAGCAGAAGAGAAGAAAGAACAGGAAGCGACAGCCGAAACCCTACATATAATCCTCTGCGTGCGCGCGCACGCAACAGCATCAGTGGCATCAGCGGCTTGGGGGTG